TTGCCAAAGAGATATCAATATCTAGCTCACGAAGCATTTCAATTTGATTTTGATCATGGTTAAGTTTTTTGTTTTTTTGTGCATGTGCCTGTCTTGACAATTTGGTCTCAGTAGACTGTACATTCTCTTGTTGCGTATTAGTTGATGCTTGCATTATAACTCTCAAATAAAAGAAAATAAAAGAAAATATATTATTAGTATGAATTTGATTTAATAGATTTTTACACTATAAAAACAGAGAACTTATATCTTTTTTTCACATATTTAATCTACTATGTATATACTTAGTATGCAAAACAATTGCAAGTAATAATTAATTACATGTCACTATATTAAGTATTGTAATAAATTGATTTGACATCACCCAGCATTAATTCGAAATTTGCGCCCCCTAACAATAGCATTTGCAGATTCGAAATTTGCGCACCCTAACAATGGATTCCCCTAACAATAGCATATGCAGATTCGAAATAACATCCATGTACGTTCCAAAATAACGCGCATTATATATCTAAAATAGAAATAAACCAAGTGATTCTTTTAAGGGCATAAAATTAAATAATTTAAAATTTTTCACTAATAATAAACGAAAAAAAAAGAACGAAAGTCATAATAAAATTCAAAAAAAATTATTGGAGAAAACATAATGAATCCAAATAATAACAAATGGCTCAATAGCATTAATAAAAACTTAAAGCCATTGCATAAATTGAAAGTAGATTATAATAATTTTAAAAGGCAATGAAATATTCCAAATATTTATAAAAACCGTAATTATAATACTTTTCTAACTGTAATAAATATTACATTTATTGAGTTTATTCAAATAAACAAATTTGCTTATCGTTATTATTTTGTTAGTCTATGAATTACATGAATTTTTGTGATCAATATATTTGCCAATGTTTATTACTTGTCATTCGAAAAGGGTTTTAACTTTTGATTTTATAGAAAAATGGGTTTGTATATTAACTATAGTTTAGCTTATTGCTTTACGAATTTATTTTTTAGTGATTTCTTTAATAGATTTCTTTTTTTCACTAGAGCTTACTATTTCATAGAAATTTTATCCTCTATCAGAGATTCTTTTTGCATAATGGTTTGACCTTCTATCTTCACCAGTTTTAAGTTTAGCTTTTCACTATTACTATAAAATAATTCGGCCCAATCAAACACTAACCAAACTCTAACTATAATACTATGAAAAGTCAAGGATCGTTCTTAATAATGTTTGCATCTTTGAATGTAAGATCATTTTCATTAAAAATTTTAAGATTCAAAGTTCCTATATTTAAGCACTTACAAGTTTAACATTACATGATATTATCACATTTGAAGTTAGTACTTATCTAAAGTTGTAACTTCAAACGCTTGAAGTTGTGCTTGCCTAAGATTACTAAGGCCGCACAAAATTATATACTTGGTTTTCATATCACGGAATGGTGATCAGTGACCCGGCCGCACGGCTTTTTTTTTTTTATAGTAAAAAATTTTTTTTAAAAAATAATGTTAAAAAAAGCATATTAAAGCTTATAAACTTTTTATGTTATTTCGAATTCTGCTTTAATACGATCATAAATGGTCAGATACAAGACCCGGGTCTGTTACATTCCACCAATTTTAAAACCCTTTATAGACCCAGATATAGAGCCAATGAATATGAAAATACAATCGAATGAATTCCATTTGATAGATTATTTGATAAAGAAATTGACAAAGGAGGATTCAGCTCTGCATATTCAGCAACCTGGTTGGATGGTGTTTGAAAAATTGAGGAAAATAAAATTGATAATGACAACTATTCCTATAAAAGATCGTGTAAAGCATTCAGCATCATTGCACTCAAAACTTTGCCTGATTCTTTAAAAGAAGTAAGTTAAGTCTATTTATTCAATAATTTATTAAATAAAGAATAAACTAATTTATTTTATTTGATTTATTTACTTAACTGTTAATTATAAGTTGAGAATCATATTACATGTGGCTTAGATTAACTCAAAAAAATGAAAATGAATATTGGATGATATTTCAATATGCTGATAATGGATATCTTCACAAGTTTTTAAGAAAAGATTTTTGTGTTCTTACCTGGCAAACTAAATTAAAACTACTTAAAGATATTCAATGGGACTTATGTATGATTCATTTTGCAGATTATGTTCATGCAAATTTCACAGTGGTAATATTTTACAAGACGAAAGCATTAGTAAAAATATGCAATCATATATCACAGATCTAGGATTGTCCAAAAAAATAGACGAAAATAATTCAGGTGATATTTATGAAATTATTCCTTATGTAGTGTCAGAGGTTTTATTAGATCAAAAGCTTACAAGGGCTGCCGATATTTACAGCTTTGGAATCATCATGTCAGAAATGTCGACTGGACAAAGACCTTTTAATGGAGACGAATTTGATATAATACTTGCTGTAAAGATTTGCAAAGGATCGCGTCCTGAATTTGCACCTGAAACTCCCAACTGCTATGTTGAACTGGCGAAGCAATGTATAGATTCTGATCCAAAAAAACGCCCTAAAACTTACGATCTTTATGAAAAAATTGAAGATTGGCTTAAGAAATTAGATAGTTCAGACGATAATGAAATTAAAAAGCAATTCTCAGATGCTGATAAAGTTATTAAACCATTGCCAATACCAAAACATTTTGATGAAATGTACACTAGCAAACTTATTAGCACAAATTTAATTTCAAATGAGATTAAAAGTATTTATTTATTTTCAACTAATATATTAATCGAATTATGTATATTTATTTAAAATAATAATTTTTTTATTTAGATTTGTCGCAATGGGATTCTGCTCAAATTGAGTTTAATATTACTAAATCTTAAATACTTTGATATGTATACAAATAATAAATTTATGTTATAATATGTAAACAGAAATAATCTTATTTATATTTTTAAATAGATAATCATGATTAACATGCTTAATAGAATTTATTTATATTATAACATTGTTAAAATTTTGTTTTTTAAAGAAATTGATAATATCTTAACATTTTGCTCATGAAACAGCGTTGCATATTCTAATAAAAAAATTCCGTGCGAAATTTTACAATATACTTAAAGCTATTATATTGAATATTGATTTTATATTACGCGGATTTGCAATTATTTTAATATAAAAAATAAAATATTTTTGTATGCTTGTATATTTAGCACATTGTGTAATAATTGATCAATGAATTTTCTCTTTATCTTTTTTTAACCAACTTGACTTTTCTCGCATCTGGTCGCTGCTTTCAAACAAGAAATGCCTAAAGAAAAAAAAATTATTTCCAGCACCTGAAAGAAAACCTGATGAAAGACAATAATAAAAAGCCAAAACTTATCCTTAAGACCAGCCCAGTCTTATTTCGTGTCCAGTTGCTGCTTTTAACTTAAAGAAAAAAAAAGATTAGTTCTGGCAACTGAAAGAGAAACTAATTAAGATAAAACAAAAAAGCTGGTACTTATTTTAAAAACCAGCCCCAGTCTATTCCATTTCAATTGCATCATTAAATAAAAAAAAAGGGTAAAAAGCTAATACTAATAACAGAAATAAAATATAAAAATCAAAAAAAGATCAAAAAGAAAGATCAAAAAAAATCAAAATCAAAAAAAAAAATCAGATCAAAAAAAAGATCAAAAACAAAAAAGATCGATATCATAAAATAATACAAGCATCAGGTCATTTTGTGGATCTAAATTCATATACTACCGGCTAATTCAACATAACGATCGAGAGTTCTTGGTGCAAACCTTGGTCGTAATTTATCATAAATCTCGACTGCAAGTTCAGGTTCAAATTATAACCATCAAAATGTTTTTGATTAGCTATTATTTCAGTCATTTTAACACCAATACCATAGATATCTGCTTTTCATTAAATTGTTTTTTATTTAACAAAACTTTTGGAGATGATAGTATTATCTTCAATGTTGAAGCTGCTGTAGACTGGTATTGTACCCAAAGTTAAATCTTGAAGTTGAGAGAAAAATTGCCCATTTTGTTCTAATGAGTAGAAGATCTCGCTTAATTTGAGTATTCACAAAAGGATTTAATAGTAATTTGTGCAAAGAGGCGCTATTCTCAATAAATAACTTACCAATAAATTAGTTATGTAAAATATCAATAAGTCATTAGGCGATATCGAACCAACATGTTGTAGTTTGAGCCATTTATTAGTCATTTCTTCTAGACAACTTAAATTGAGAACCTTAAGAAAACTTGCATAATTAAATAGTGTTTCGATGGTCTTTTAAAATAAAATTTTCGTTATCATTAGGAGATAAAAGATATTTAAAAATAAATGATGGCTGTTAATCAAATGAAAATAGATCTTTCCAAAGAATAGGAATAGACATTTTGCACCAATTTCAACTTACTAACGAACAATGACGATTCAAACAGCGACTATAACAAAGACGAACAACTGTTTAATATTATACTTGAAAAAAAAATTTTTAAACAAAAAAAAAAACTTATCTTAATATGTTATAATAAATTTTTTAAGCTGATCTTGGCCGAATTTTTTATAAATTCATTTTGAAATTCGTTTACCCGATCACCACATTGAGGTGTCAGCGATCGACCAGGAAAAAAAATGTTTGCATATAAGAAAACACTAGGTTAGACGAGATATAATCTTTATAAACCCAGAAATTTTCCTATAACTAGCGCTTGACTATTGTATCTACTACCAGTTTCTAAAGTTTACTCTAAAAGAAACTCGGTTCTAAAGATCTCAGCAAACTTAGCAGCAAAAAAATCAAAGGCACCTTAAATTAAATCCTCAGATTTATATCTTTGCCAGAGCACCTGCTCGTCTAGTCGGGTGATTAACATCGAATACTGGATTTATATCTATACCAGAGCACCCGCTCATCTAGTCGGGTGGTTAATATAGAACACAAAAGATTTAACCCAGTTTACCAGATTTTACATTTTCCTCAGAGCACCCGCTCGTCTAGTTAGGTGGTTAATTCCAAATACTGAAAAACTGGTTAAAGACAGCCTTTGAAGAGTTAGGGTTAGTGTTTAAGATACAACGTCAAAGCTAGACACGTCTAATATTGGAGGGATGGAAATATAAAAATCAATGATCATCTATTTTTACCAATGCGATAATCAGGGCGCGGGTTACGTAATT